GCGAACTTGGAAGCATCCTGGACTCTTCTGGGGAGGCTGCCTGGGGAGGCTGCAGTGGGGAGGCCTCTTGAGGGTTGTTTTGGGGCCCCTTGGGGCGTCTTTTGGGCCTCTTGGGGGGCATCTTGGGACATCTTGGGGCTCGTCCTGAGATCTCTTGGGGTCCTTTGTGCCCGCGCAGCGGCTCGACGCCGGCTTCTTAGGGGTATGCTGGGGGCGCTGATCTAGAGTATTAGACTTGGGCCCCTCTTAGGCCCGTCTTGGGACCCTCCTGGGCCGTCTTGGGCGCCTCTCTGGCCGTCTTAGGGCCCTCTTGGGCCGTCTTGGGGCCTTGTTGGAAGCCTCTTGGGCCAGAGCGGTCTCCTTGGTCTCTTAAGCCGTCTTGGAGCGTCGGGAAGCAGGAAAAGCGACCACGCCCCAATCCTTCAAAACAATGGAAAAAAACAATAAGTATTGCTTCTAGGGGCCCTTCTTGGGCGCTTATTGGGCCATCTTGGGGCCCTCTTGGGCGTCCCGGAGCTGTATTTTTGCGTCTCAGGGCCTCTTAACCCGTCCTTGGAGCCTCTTGGGGAAATCTGGGCACGTCTTGGAGCCCTCTTGGGCCCAAAAATTCACGCGCCACCACGCGACAATACCCAGGAGATTTGGCAATTTGGGCTCTGGACCCCACTCCGTGCCCAGAGGCACGGTGGCGAGTCGGCGATGTATCGCCGATTCCATGTCAAAGTGTTTCCCCCCCTATGCCAGTTCCCCCTATCGTTGCCCCTCTCCCCCCGCCCGCCCTCTCGTTCCTTCTGAGACTTCCCCTTCAGCCGACCGTCGGCCACGAAGCGAGCGGACCCCTTTGGCCGACGGACGCCCACATGGCCGGCGTGGTTGTGGATGCCAAGACGGCCCAGGGCGTCGCCAAGACGGCCCCAGACGGCCAGCGAAGGCAAGGCGCAAGACACCACGCCACAAGAGGAGGCCCCCAGGAGGCCCCCAGAATGATGCGGTAGAGGGGGAGGTGTTCCGACGTGGTGTAGGGGGAAGTGGGAGGGAATGACAAGGATAATTCCGTTCCAGAGCGTTCCGGAACGCTTTCATAGCGTTGTGGAGCGCTCTGAAAAGGCAGCGGCGCCCGACACATCCTCCAGAGCCGCCGGATCTCAGAGATCTTCGAATCGTCCCCACCCAATACTCTCATCGTCCTGGCTTCGTCTTAAGTGGTGAACCCCTCTCCGAAGGGGAAGGGGGGTCGGAGGAAAGAGTGCTGGTGGGATTCGATCCAGCCGTGTCCTACCAAGCCTTGACGCCCACCCTGTCGTGCAGGAGACGGGCGTCCAGCCAGAGGGCGTGGCGCAGTCTGTAAACGGAAGCTGTCCAGTGTCTGGCCGCCGGCTTTACTGTGACGGTCTGCTCTTGGGGCAAGGGCGCCTGTAATAAAATCGTCTTACTCCAGTTTGACGGGTGGAGCCTATTGAGATCATGCAGTATTGGTTGCAGGCAGTGCCAGGATCAGTTATTGAGCGATGCTTCCAGCGTTCGTATGGTGGAGGTGCCCTTGAAAGCAGTTCGATACAGAGTAGATTGTTCAATCGTTTCGCTCATTTCGCCAGCCCATCTTGTCTCACCGCTGTCGATTGGCCGAGTGTCTGTCTGCAGTGCGGAGCTGCAGGGGAGCCTCGCAGCGGCATTTGTGGGTCTCTTGGGGATCTCTCGTGGCCTCTCGGGGGTGTCTTGGGAGCCTCTGGGGTCCCCTGGGGAGCCCCCTGGGAGCCCATGGGGGCCTTTTGGAGGCTCCTTGGAAGCTTACTGGCGGTTTCGAGGGCCAGCTTCGGGGGAACGGACTCCAACGTGCAGCGATTTCCTTACGCCTCTTGCTGGACTTGACAAGGGGAAGATGCGCAGTCGTGTAAGATTCACGTGCAGACGGTTGTCTTGAAGCGAAAGATGACTGACTTTCAGGTCATTGTCGAGCAGTTTGCGAGGTAACAGATACTGGCACACTTTAGTCACATTATGATACCGGCTTTGGTCGTCTTCTTTTCGCCAGCGGAATCGCTACCCCGATCATGCTTCACCCTATTCGGCATAGTCACAGGAAGGATCGAGACAACGGATGTCCCGACATGTTGTCTGGTTGAAGTTCGGGAGCGTCTCCTTGCGGCTGGTGACGTCTTCCTAGTTTGAGCTTCCTAACCAGGCTGCGCAATGCACGACGCTTGGAGCGTGAGGCTCTGGTTGCCTTTGGTCTATGTTGGCCTGACCCTGGGGCGCTGGTTCGAACAGGCAAGCGAAACGTGATCTCCTCGTCCTGGCACCCCGGTCCTGAGCCGAACGCTGCCCCAACCTACCCGACGCCACCACGTCTTGCCGTACCCTGGCATATTGTATGCGATCGTTTCTGACAGGATTTACTGGCTCATGCCGCACCGCCGGCCCCTTAGGGCCCGTGGATGCGAGATCCTAGTTGCTCGTAGGAAGGTGATTGAGGTGTCGTTCTTGTTCCGCTTCTTCTCCTCTCCCCTCCCTCCTTCCGCCCCCGTCCCTTTGATCGTCGACCCTCTGCGATCTCTCTCCCTCCTCCTCCTCCTCCTCCTCCTGCTCCTCCTCGTCCTCCTCCTCCTCCTCCTCCTCCTTCTCCCTCCTCCTCCTCCTCCTCCTCCTCCTCATCCTCCTCCTCGTCCTCGTCCTCCTCCTCCTCCTCCTCCTCGTCCTCGTCCTCGTCCTCCCTCACTCCCTCACTCCCTCCCTCCCTCCCTCCCTCCCCTTCCCTCCCTTCCCCTTCCCTCCCCCCCTCCCCTCCCCTCCCCTCCCTCCTCCTCCTCCTCCTCCTGCTTTCCTCGATCCGTGCTCCCATCGGTCGTCGATCGTCAATCGTCGATCCGACGACAATGCCGCCCAGAAAACAGGCATCCAAGGCCCCGAGAGCGTGAAAGGGGCCTCTCGCCTTTCGTCTAGCCCCCTCTTTTGGAGGCAATTTGAGTCCGCTTTGGAGCCGCTTGGGAGCCTCCAGGGGGCTCCTTTGGGGCCCTCCTGGCCATCTTGGGCTGTCTTGGGCTCCTTTGGAGCCGTCTTGGGGCCATCTTCGGCTGTCTTGGGGCCCTCTTGGGCTGCCTTTGGCGCCTTCTGGGCCGCCCTGGGGCCGTCTGGAGCCGTCTTGGGGCCCTCTTGAAACAAACAGGGAGATGTACAGAAAATGCAAGTTGTCCAAAGGGGATGTGTCGATGTTTGCTTGTTGGGGCCCTCGTAGAGGGCTCGGGTGGCGTCCTAGGGGCTTCTTGGGCTGTCTTGAGGCCATATCGGGGCGAATGGCTGCCATCTGGGAGCGCGTCGCGGCCATTTTGGAACGTCTGCCGTGGAAGCCATTTCTAAGCCGTCGGAGGCCGTCCAGGAGCATTTCTGAGGCTAGCACGCCGTAGATCCCGATGGGTCGGCGGATTCACACTTGTCTTTCCTTGGGCGACTTTCTCAAGAGCCCACCGTCGGCATTTTGGTTCGACCCTTTCTTGGCTTCGGCCCCTGACTGACCCTCCAGGCATCCTGGGGGTGCGCTTTGGTAGCCTGGGTGCCCGGCGCGGTTCCTTGCCCTCGAGGCCTTCCTAATGGACCCCGAGCAGACGGGAGTGCCCAGATCCCACCGCGTCGCCCATGGATTACCGGTGCATCGGCGACGCGGTATGAATCGGGATCAGCTTGTTCTGTTCCATTTTCGTTGGACTGTTCAGCCCAACTTAGAAGCCCTTGGTCGAAAGGCTCCAGCCCTGCATCGCGGAGGCATCGTCGATGCCTCGGCGTTCCGGCGCGACCTGGTGTCATCACGCTGCTCTGGCGTCATTTGGGAGGCCTTCCGCGTTGCGCATGTCGGTGGCGAGGGTATCCGGTGGCCTGGACGATGCACGGCGCTTTGCGTCAGCACGGCCGCTCGGCGAGTTGCTTGTAAAACGCAATGCGGCTGGCCTGGACGGGCAGGAGCCTGCATGCCGTTCCAGTGCTCGGCCCTGGTGTGGCAGGGCCACGCCAGCCATCCGCATGTTTGCATGCCCAGCAGTCGGCATCCGCATCTCCTGCGCGGGAGTCCAGCCGCGTGTGTTTCCAACCTTTTGGCGGGGTAGCCTTTGGGGGGGGTTGAAGTGGGCGGGGCAGCCCTGGGATAGGGATAAGCCACTCCAGGGCGTACTGGAGCCTTCTCAAGGCATTCCAGGGAGCTCTGGAACGGCCGACTCGGCGGGCTTGCCGGTCCCCGAGCCCGATGTTGCTTGCATCTTGTCGTGTGCACGTAGGAGGGAAATATCCTCACGCGCCGGTGACACCCGCGGGGTCTGCAGACTTTCTCGACGAGCTTGTCAAGGTGCACTCCAAACAGCTAGACCCTCAGGCGACGGACGACATCGAGAAGTCGCAGGACATGGGCACCACAGCGGGGGGCACGGAGGGTGCGCCTGCCAGCCTCCCCACCTTGAGGTTTCCTCGAGGCTTGAGCGGAAAGGCTTTGGATTTGTGGGCTAGATTTTCCCGTGCCTCCTACAGGAGGTGTCTCGTCACCGCCGTTGGGCTCCACTTCGAAGTGCTGGCTTGAACGCGCCCCAGGCCAGGCCTGGGGGGGCCTCGTTCTCACTCTCATTCCCTCCTCGCTCGTGTCCTCGCCGTCGAGGTGGGGCCAGGTCCTGAGAACCTCGGTCGCGTGACCAGAACCCACAACAGCTGCCAATCCCCCGCCGCTTCTGCCCTGGGAGATAGGCGCTCCTTTTGCTTGGGCCCAAACGCCGGCGCTACAGGTAAGCATGTCAGTCCAGTGAAACAGGGGAAAACGGGTCTTGACCCCCACAATTCACACTCATATCATTTTCTCTGACTGAGCGTGCCTGCGAGCCGACGCTGGCTCAGTTCAACTGCAGAAAAGAAATATGTATGAATATGGAGGTGCCGCTCACGCACGAGCGACTGCATCATACAATATCTCATCCCGTCGAGGACCGTCCGGCCGTCGGTGCTCTCGCACGGCCCAGGAGCTCCTGCTTCTACTTCTCGAGGCGAATCGCCTCGACCTCCGCACGCAGCTCCTTCTCCTCGGACCACCACTTCGTGCCTCTGTCCACGAGCAGCGTGTCACACAGGTGGCAGCGTACCTTATCCTTGTACTGGTTGGTACCCACAGTCGAGAGCTGATCTGCTGGATGCACGCACTCATCTGGGTCGACTCTGCATGAAGTTCTGAGCTTGCCCTTTCCTTTCTCGCTGCCTTTGCCTTTCGGGATATCTTCTGCGCCGTAACTAGCCCTGCGGCACTTGTTGCATCCGGCGACCACCTGCTGGTATGCCTCGAGGATATAATTCTCCAGTACGTCGCTCAGGTCGTGCTCCACCTGCTTGTAGGATGCGTGCCTCAATCGCTCATGCAGTCTGCGAACCTTGTCCATCGGTAACTCCGTCGTCTTCTTCCTGGTGGTCGATCCTCCGGACTGCTCGGTCTGGCCTGGAATCTCGACCCATTCGTCATCATCGTTCGGAACAGGGATGTTGTGGTTGACCTTCTTGCGGGTCCTCGGCTGACACTCGCACTGGTCCACCACCATCCGACACACCGCGCACACCACCAGCGTAGCACCAGCTCCAGCGGCGCCTCCTCCAATCTCCTCGGTCTCGGCACTCGCGGCGTCCATCATGTAGATCTCGTTCACGTCGTCCAGATCCGCCGTATCGTCCGTAACCTGGTTCTCGTCCGAGATGACATTCGCGTCCTCGTGGTGCTCGATGTCGTTGGTCGTGTCCGTCTCCTTCAGGTTGTGCTTCTCCGTGAATTATTTCTCGTAGCGTTCGAGAGCCTCCTCGGTCGGTGCGTATATCGTCAGAAACTTGCGGACATTGGTCGGAATCCTCCGACGCTTCGCCACATGGTCCAGTCCCGACCGGTCGACCATGTCCTCGAGCTTCTCGTAGTAGATGTCGTCCTCGCGCTGGCACAGCATCATCTGCCAACGGAGGCAGTGCTTGGGCGCCGGTAGAGCTGCATGCGCACTGTACCACACATCCGCGATGCAGTCCTCGAAGTATGTATAGCCTTCCCGCACGAAGGGCTGGTCGGCAGGCCGATGTCGACGCCCGCGCGGACGTCTTGCTTGGTAAGACAGTCGGCGAGCATTTGCTTGGTGTTCACCCACTTGCTCACCACGCTGTTGAACTCTATGTCTTTCCTGAGCGACTCGATGTCGCTGAGCAGCCGCTTCTCGGACGGGGCCGTCCCTCACGTCTGCAGCAGGTCGTAGAGCGACTTACAGTTTGTGTCCCCCACCATCTTCATCGCCTTTACGTCGTCCATGTGGGTCTGGTAGCCCAGCCCGTGGTGTGTCGCCACTCTCGACCGACTCCAGCGCTGCCATCGTCTCGACTGCCAAGGTACTCCGTACCACTCGCTTGATGCGATGCGATCGCCACAACGTCGGGGTAACCTTAGCAGGCTGCCCGCGTATGAATTGGTCGTCAGTATTGTCCGCGAGCAAGATGACCAGACCCGCCTGGCCAGCGGTCTTCGTCTTGCCCACGTTCCCGTGGCTCGAGTCCCCCGCTGCAACCACAGTCGCGTTGTCCATGTCCAGCTTCTGGAAGGTTATGTCCACGTGGTCGGCCTTGGCGTCGCTCACGAGCTTCTTGTAGTCTAGCAGGTCCTGTACCTTCAAGTCGCTGTCGTGAGCCCGAGCTTGGCTTTCCACCAGCCAGAACGCCAAATCCATCCTCGTAGAACGGACCAGCCACTGGATCTAGCCGTTGCTACTGTGGAGCATAGCCCTTTCCTCCGCCGTCGCCTTTGCCTCCTCGGTCTTGCGACGCTCGGCCGAGATGGGTATCTTCTCGATACTCTCCGTGTACTCCTTCTGGCTGCATGTGATCGCGCCGTCGTCGTTCTGCTTGGGGAAGTGCCCGCAGTGGTTGAAACTGTTCTTCGCCGTCTGCAACTTGCCGTAGCAGTGCACCTTCTTCAGCTTGGCCACCTGGTTCGCGAAGAACTCGGGCGATCCCGCGACGAGGTCGTCGACGCGCGTCCCGATCAGGCCGATCAGCTTCCCCCTGTCGTCGTGAAGGATGAAGAGGGCCAGGCACTACTTGGATCTCGAAGCCCCGGGAAGCGAGAGGATGGCACCGTGATGCTCCTCGTGCCACAACGGGGGTGCAGCGTTCAACCCGTAGATGCCCTTCTTCGCTTTCAGGATAGTCCCTTCTGGGACAAACGGCCATCCCAGCTCCGGCCCCGCAGGCGTGCCGCCCTTGGGAACAGGGAAGTACACGCGCCTGGAGTTGTCGAGATATCTCCCATTCAGGAATGCCAAATCTACGTCGCCCTGCTCGAGGCCCCAGCCGGGCTGGCTGGCGGCTTCCTGGATGATCGCCGCCGCGGCCGTGTCCGTGAGCGTCGGCGCGTTCGTCTGCAATTCGCCCGCGAGCAACTGCTTGTCCTTGTAGCCCGGGACGATGTTCCGTGACTTCGCTTTCAGCGGGTGTTGCTCGCACGAGAGACTTCCTCTCGTAGGTTCATTCTTGTCGGTGCGGACGCGCCTCATGGGCAGGATGTCCGCCTCCTCGACGCCCGCGATCTCCTCTTCGCTCGGGCACTCCACAGCGTCATACTGAATCCATTTACGCCACTCTTCCAGGTCACTCGCCTCGAACGCCGTCTTCCATTCTGGAGCGATGCTGCGTAGTTCCCGATCTTTATTGAATCGCTTCGCTCATTCCGCCGGCCCAATTCGCATGACTGAGCCTCTTGGGGCCGCTGGGGGGCCTCTTCAGCGTCGCTTGGGGGCCTCCTGAGGGCTTCTTGGGGGCTTTTGGGGCCTCTCAGGGGCCTCTTGAGGCCTCCTGGGGGCTTCTTAAGGCCGAGGGCTCGAAGTTTTGTTTTGTGTTCCCCCTTTGGGGCATCGCTTGGGGCCCTCTTGGGCCCCTCTTGGGCCGTCTGGGATGCCTCTGGGGCCGTCTTGGAGCCCTCTTGGGCCATCTTGGGGCCTTCTTGGGAGCTTCTTGGGCCCTCTTGGGGCGATCTTGGGGGCCTCTTGGGCCGTCTTGGGGCGTCGGGAAGCCGAAAAGATGGACACGCCAAAATCTGCCCAAAACCTAAGGAAAAGTAATGAATTTTGCCTCTTGGGGCCCTCTGGGGAGTGCTCTTGGAGGCCTCTTGGGGCGTCTGGGGGCCATCTTGGGCGTCTTGGAACGATCGTGTGGCATCTCGGAGCACTCTTGAACCATCTTGGAGGGCTCTTGGCGGCCTCGTGGCCCTTCTTGGGGCTCTCTGGAGGGCCACGGGGGCGGCGCCCAGGAGGAAAACCATCTCTGATCCGACCCTGCCGGGGATCGCCCGGGGTACTTTTCGTCCGGGGACCCCCAGGGGCCGCCCCGCGCGCGCGAAGTAGAAGTATTGTTTAGCAGTTACCGGAGATCTTAGCACGCCTCTGGCCCGTTGGGCCGGCGAATTCGGGGTGACCTGCTTCTTCGCGGCGTCAGTCCTCCTGGCCACGAATGCGTCCCTCGAGCGATTCTTGAGCTTGAGGAAGAGCACTTCGTCGTCGACCTCATCGTCCTCGATCTTCGGGAGGCGACTCTGCTTGAGAGCTTCGCGACGCACGCGAAGGCGTGCGCAATCTGCTTCGAAGTCGTCAGGTAGTGATCGCTTGCACGGGGACCCTCGAGAACCAGGCTGTGATGCAGGTTCTGGCTGTCCTTCTTGCTCGGGTTGTTGCTGCGGACTGCTTGGCACAGCAGCCGCGCCCAGGTCCGTGGCGCGCCCCTGCCCAGCTGCATCAGGTACAGATGGGTCGTTAGCCGTAACATATTGCATGTCGTCTACATCTCTGGGTGCATCCTCATCTTTAACGTCCTACATGTCGTTTCCATCTCCAGGTAGTGGTGGTACTTCGGGTAGCTCCAGGTTCAGGTGCGTCCTCCTCCTTGATCTGCTTCTCTCGCTTGGGAGTAGCCTCGGATCTCCTCGGGGGAGGCGGTGGAGCTTCCTCTGCCCGTGGCGTCTTGGTAGCCGGCGCGTCGCCCACGGCGTCTTCGTTGTCCGACTGACGAGGTCCTCGTTCTCCACCATCTCGGCCTCGCCGCGAGAGGCATGCCGCGCCTGCTCAGGCGCCGCGAGCACCGGCACCCCGCGGTAGCTGAGGTGTAGCCTTGTGTGCAGAACACCAGCTGTCCCGGCGCGATCGGCCCGCGCGGCGGGCGAACCAACCGTGGCCCTTCTCACTGCGTCGTCGCTGTCCAGCTTGAAGAACGCCCGGTTCGCCGCAGCGCGAATCTGCTCGGCCCTCCTGGGACCGTCCTCGCAAAGTGCTGCGCTCTGCGCCGCCAGCTACCTCTGATCGCCCTCCATCGCCTGGATCAGCGAGGCCGGGACATTAGGCGATCGTCCCCGTACGTGTAGTGGTAGGGTGTGAAACCATTCCGCCGGATGCGGTTATTGCACGTGCTCGCTATCACCGAAGTCCACGCAGATGGGTCGTCACTCTTGGTGAGCTGCACGTCGCGGTTCAGGCGCTGGAAATGGTCCTTAAAGAAGTCGATAGCCCGTTCCACTCTGCCCTTGAGCTGAGGCGCCTTTGTTGGGGCCGGCCTCATCAGGATGTTGTACTTCTCGCCGATCTTTGCGAACGGCTGCGCAATGTGGCCCTTCGCTGCGTCGTAGCATAATACCTTCGGAGGGCCAGCCCATGATAGCCTTCCTTGCGAGAAGCAGCGAAGGCTCTCCTCACCCGCGATGGATCGCACTGCTGTAGTAGGTATGATGACCCTGAAGTTCGACGCGTCATCCAGGATCACCATCACCATCGACCGTGTCTTGTCTGAGAGAGTCACCTCGGCTTCGTCCAGAAACACATTCTCGTTGAACTCCGTCGAGAGCTTCAGGTTGGCCGACCTCGTAGCGTTGGGCCTCCCGAGCTCCTTGCACACGACGCAGTCCAATTTGTCCACCGCGTCGAGTAGTTCCTGCGACACCCCGTAGGACTTCAGGAGTCGCTTCAGCGCGTGTGCCGACGGGTGGCTCAGGTCCAGGTGGAGCTTCCTCAGGGCACCCCACTGAGCCGTGGTGATGTCCGAAGGTTTGTCGCCAAAGCTCTCACCTTCGCGATGTAGGTCTCGATGTACTGCGTCTGCTTCACGATCGTCGGGCTTGAATACTTCTGGTCGGCTGCCAAGTAAGGGTATCGTCGCGAGGAAGGATGTCTGCACCTTCGGCTCCTTCACATAGATCGCGACCACCGTGTCAGTTGGATACCTTGCGGCCAGCTCGATTTTCGTGAAGTTCAGGTCATCCGCGTAGGCATCGGAGAAGTCGGCCAGCACGCCCTTGTCGGTGTACATGGCGTAGATGCGCAGCACAGCTCCGCGAGGCACAGGGATAGCCTCGTTCTGCCTCAGCACGACTACGTTGATCAGGTCCTTCCTCAGCTTGAGCTCCTTGGCCACCGTGCGCATGGTCCTCTGATCCAGGACCTTCGTCGCGTCGTCTCCGATACCCAGCTTCTTCAGGTCGGTAAGCCGCGCTAGCTCACGAGTGCCAGCGATCACCAGGGTCTTGCCCAGGTCGTCCGCCAGGCGCTAGCCCGCGAGAGCAGCGTGCCTCGTCCGACCGTGTCGGCATGCTCGCGGCGCTGGTCACACTTGCGATCGAGCCACCACGGAAAGCATGAACCGTTGGGCACCAGCATGCGCGTGGCCTTCCGAATCAGTGTCCCGTAGTCATCTGTCAGTCGGAACATGCATTGGTGCAGCGTAACCCACTCTTACAATCGAGGTCGCTCGCCGTGCCAACGCAACAAATCCATGATCGGCTCCTCGTTCCAAGCACGGCTCGTGAGAGGGTTCTCGCCGATGCCGATGCGTCCACCTTCAGCCTAAGTCCGAAGCACCGTAGCCGAGAAGTCAACAAGTGGCCTGAACTCCTCGATGAGGTCGTCCACCCGGTCGCCCATGCCCTGAGCGCGCTGAAACTCTTGCATGTTCGAGAAAGGTGTGCATGGGAACGCGACCGAGACTACCCAGGGTTCGAAGGTCTTTATCAGGAACAGGAAATCCGACCGGGTCTGGGGGCCGTCGAAGTTAACTCCGACCGACCGAGGGGGTCGCGTTCGCGTGACCACCCTTCGAGGCTACACGAGTAAAGCGAGCCTCCTTCGCAAGCAGCTCCCACAGGAAGGTCTCCCGGTTGTCCCGCAGCACGTCGAAGATGACCGAATATTCTTTCATCAACTTGTCGATCCGTTTGAGCGTGCCCTTTTTGAATCTGCCCTTGCTGCCGTTCTTCAGAGCCTCCGCGACCCGCGAGTCGGCGTGCTCCTTCACCTGGAAGCCCGGCTCGTACTCCTGCAGCGTCTCCGCGACCGGGAACGCGTCTGGCTCGAGCTGCATCTCGTCCACGCGGAACCTCTCGAAGAGAGGCTCCGACTCGTACTACTCGAGGTCGTAGTCGAAGAGGTCGAGCCCCGCATGCCCACCAGGCAGCTTCACCAGCTCCTTGCCGTGCACCCCGAGCTCCTGGGAGTCCGCCCCGTGGCCGTCCTCGCGCATGTAGAGGTTCGTCTTCCACTCGGCGAGGTCCTTCCTGCTTGTCAGGCCGACCATGTCGCCGGGGATCTCGAAGTACTCCGGCAGCACATGCTTCTTCCCGATGCCCACCGGGATGATCCACTTCTGCTTTGACTAACGTCGTGCTCCACCGAGTCCCTTGAACTTCTTGTGTGCC